CTCTGCGGATGGGACCTGTTGTAGCAAGGAATCTGTAGCCATTTGGACGTGGTCGATGAGTCGGTCTGTTTCGGCATTACCGCTATGGGACCTATAGAGGCACCCGTAGACGCGCGGATGGTCGTCGCTGTCTACGCGTAGCCAAAGGATGGACAGGTCCGAACCTTCAAGACTGCCGAGGCGTCGATAACAGATGTCCTCTCTAACATACACGCAAACTCCAGCCCGAGGCACAAAGGAGTGCTCCAATTTGTACCCCGGGTAGGAGAGATACGAAATATCAGTCGGAGAGGAAACCTGCGTCTCGGTCAAAAAGAGCAAGGCCGGCTTCGCCGTCTCGAGATGGTAGTGGACGGCGTTTAGGTTAGAGTGAAGTCCCCTGATGTTGCAGAAATTCACGGATAGCGTGGTCGCCTTGGTATTGTTGCTCAGCTTGCCCCGAGCAGTTTTGTTTTTGAGCGGAATTTTGCCCCCCCCAGAATACGCGGGGCAGCCTGAGCACCCACGCTCAGGATTGGAATAACATGGTCGTGGATGCTCAGCGAGGGATTCTCCAGGGGTACTGGTACCCTCCTGGGGTAGTCTATTGTCTAATTCCGCTACCATGTTGATGGGGGGGGGGGGGGGGGGAATTGGGCCTCCGGTCACCTGCACTCACCAGACGAAACGCAGAAGCAGAGCCTCTACTTCACGCCGGTATTCTGTGAGGTCGTGGTACCAACCCGGCTCGAGCCGGCCCATACGTGCAACAGCAAAAAACTGCTGCAGGGCTCTACCACCGTTAAAAATCCGTTTTTATCCGTCCGATTCCGAATTTAATGTCATACGAAAACAATCGCAAAACATTTGGAGGAAACCGAACTATTCTATAATTTACCACTAGTGTTGGCACCAATTAGAATCTAAACTTCGGACCCTAGAGTCGACAGTCACATACAAAAGCTTTGCGTTTACACATTTATTATTGCTTGTTCTTCAGCAGGGTTTCTCTCTAGTTACGAAATAGTGACGTACAACAATTGTGTATCTATATCGCTCATACAGCCTATACTACTATACTATGCTGCTAAATATAGGCCTCACGCAAAGATTACGCTTGACACTTGGGAGGCCAGTTGACAATCGCATTTTTTTATTTAACCGACTGCAAAACTGGAAGGAGGTACTCAATTCCTCAGAACTTTTTCTAAGTGAACCGATTTTCTGATTCTTTTTTCTATTTCAAAGCCGGTGCTTCTCATGTAAAGTTAAAGTAAAGTTGCAGCCTATTTACGTCCCAGCTGGGCACAGGCCTCCCCTCATTTCTGAGGGGGTTTTAGGGCAAGGAAATGTCCACCACGCTGCCCCAATGCGTGTTGATGAACTTCACATGTCTTCGATTTTTTTTTTCTTATTTCTCAGACATGCAGGTTTCCTCACGATGTTTTCCTTCACCGCCGAGCACGTGGTAAATCAGCGCTTAAAATTGCAATTAACAATTTCATTGGTGCCGGCGGGGATCGAACCCGGGTTGCTAGCGCACTGGGAAGTTTACAGCGATCGCTAACCATCTGAGCTACCACGGCTTCTCATGTTATCCCATATAAATTTTATTAAGATCTGCTAGTAGTTTTTGAGTCATCTTCAATAATGCCTATTTAACTGATTTCGACTACATTGACGATGTTCTCATTTTACTTATATTGAAGTCGGTTGTACAAACTTTTAATTTTACCACTTGATATTATTGCGTTCTTATCAGAAAGATGCTGCTGGTCATATCCGGTTCTAGTTTGCCTATTTTGCCTTTTTTCTGCCGACTTCCAAAAAGGAGACGGTACTCAATTCGACTGTATGTTTTTTTTATGTGTGTTACCTCATAACTTTTTACTGATTGAACCGATTTCGATGATTCTTTTTTTTATTTGATAGCTGGTACTTCTCGTGTGGTCCCATATGTACGTATCCCATAATTTGATCAAGGTCAGAACAATAATTTTTGAGTTATTCTTAATAACTTATATTGAAGTCGGCTGTACAAATTTTTTAATTTAAAATATACATCAACCACTGGTTGATATGATGTAGTGGACAGCAGTTCTGCGTACAGAACTGTACGCAGAACAGTTCTGTACGCAGAATATATATATATATATAAAAAAATTATTCCGTAACTGTGTAAGATGGTTGGAGGTGCTACAAGCACATGAGTAAAGAAGTCTTTACTCTTTACTCTGTGCTACAAGTGCGCCCTTGACCACTCGTAGACGCTGAGGACATCAACCGTGGGGTTTTTCGGTAAGTGACCAACACTATCTACCTGCTTCTTTTTGAACAGCTGGGTATCCATGAAGATACCCCCACGTAGAAAAATGTATCTACTGCAAATGTCTCTCCTATCCCTATCTAATATATACAGGTTTATTTTTCAAAGAGTAGACAAATTTTAAACTTAATTTCAAATATATAAATAATGACATACCGTAATTGCAATTTTAGAAAACACGAGTAAATAAGGCTTCTACTTTTATTTGAAATTATTCCAAATTGAGAGTGATTTATGGTAAACAACGTTTTTGCCTACCGAACGACTCTTACGAATGTGTGCGTGCGTAGTAAAATCAGTTAAAATAATGCATTACCACGCGTTTTTAATTTAAAAGATAAAACGAACCGAATATTTGAGTTTTTTTAAATTAATTTATCTTCACCATTTGCTTATATTACTTATTCTGAACCTTCTCTGCAAATTTGGTCAGTTATTGCAAAATAACCCTGTATTGCCAATGTAGAGATAATGAAAAAGCCTTTCTACAATGAAAAATACTAATATCAAATACTGGAACACTTACGATCTGTTAAAGAAGAAACATTCCGTAACGATTTGCTTACAATAATATGTTATGGTTAGGTATGTACAGTGAAACCACAGCCACAGTACTACTTTTCTTAGGCTGTGATGAAACCTCGATATAACAAATCTGAAGGAGATTAGAAAATATTCATTATACCGAGTATTACTTATGTATTATGAAGAATTCTCGCCGGTAACGGATAAAGTACTAAAATAAACTTTTATCGTTAGGCCCATTTGAATGGAAATTTAGGTTTGTATCTACACAATTTAAGATAAATGTTAGATATGCGTGCCTTTTGAAAATCGTCTAAAGAATTTATATGAAATCTTAATGAGTATACTAGATGATAGGAAATATCTTTATATTGATATCTAATGTATCTGTCAATAGTTGAACGTATGGAGAGCCATCTAAGGTTCTTGAATAGATGTACCTCTTGTAAACTATTAATCAGATGTTAATTAGAAATATTTATCCGAGTGTAATGTTTTTAAATGGACCCGAGATCGTACAGTCGACAACGCATATAACTTTTTAGTGTACAGGTTTTACGTTAAAAACTTTGGAAAAAAGAATAAAAAACAATGTAATATTATTTTATAGAACAAGCGTGACAAACAAACAGTCGAACTACGATCTATCCTCGATTAAAATTAAAACACAGATGCATTGTCCCCTGTGGACATATGCTGCTATTTTACGTAAGAGCGTGGTCCTTCACCGGGCAAGTCGACCCATTCGCGCAATAATATAGCTGCAGCGTGGCTCTGCCACGTTTAAAAACAAATCCATAGAAATATTTTATTATAATAATTATAGTGAATCACCATTTGCTATCATATCAGCCTATCAATTTAGAATGCAATCTAAAAATGATCAAAAATGAAATAATTGCAACTCCAATTATTATAAAACAATAAAACGTTTTGGTACATGTCTGTGGTGGATTTAAAAAAAGCCTATGGAGTGTAAGTAATTATTACTGTGTAATATTACAACTCACATTTTATGTGAACGATGGTCTTTATAGATATAGTAGTATTACTTGTGTAAAAAGGTTGTGTTGGGATACTTAACCGCAAAGGTCCCCTGATGACTAAGCTCCTCGTGCATTAACGTTTCAACTACCTATTTCAAATAGTTTTAGATTTGCAAAAGTGTTGCAAAGTCGTGTATTACATGGGTGTATAAGAACAATTAATGGAAACAACTTGATCAGATGCTGATCGAGCCACTAGACATTTTATCGGTTTTTAACACATTGGCAAATTATAGTCAACTATTGGATTAAACTGCCGTTAAATACTTTTTTTTATAGTATAGGGTGACAAACGAGCACACAGCCCACCTGATGGTAAGTGGTTGCTGTGGCCCATAGACATCTACATCTATCCTCATTTGTGAATCAAAATGCAGATGTGTTGCCATCCGTGAGGACTAAGATGGATTACCTCGTTTCCAGTAAAAAGGGTCTCCGGTTCTCTACACTCACCATACGAAACACAGCAGTGTTGAGCTGCTATTTGACGCTGGTATTCTGTGAGAGCGTGGTCCTTCCCCGGTCGAGCCGACCCATTCGTGCTACAACTATACCACTAATATAGCTGCAGCATGGCTCTACCACATACTTAATAATATTTGTGATAGTTCATCATAATGCGAAACTTTTTTTATATTTTGATTTTTATTGAAATTTACAGTGTAGAGATAGAGCCCTTGACATTGTTTCTTTTGGCGTAAAAACTTGTAGCTAATACGCTAATAAAAAAAATGTTTAAAAGTTATATCATAAACGTAATGTGCTAAAATTCTGCGCTAACACTAATGAATGATACTTCTCTTATTCTTAATAAAAATAAATAAACCTTTAAAACATTAGAAACCAATTTCAAAAATTAAAAATAATAAAATAATTTGCACATAATAGCTTCTGAAGTCATTACTAAGAGATAGTGCATCTAAGAATTAGAGCCCCAACTTCGGAAGCTATTTTAAGCTTTTTATTTCCTGAAGTCAGTTTTTTTTTAAGTTTATATTTTACAATTTTGGGTGAATGAAATGAATTATTACAAATTTTGTTCTGTATTCATAATATTAGTTATTAGAAAAATTATAAAAATTATATATATTATATATATGTTAGGTGTGAGTTCTGAAACTTACCGTTAAGACGATCTTTAACTACTTGATGAGCGAAGGCCGCTGCTGCCGCCTGTCTCATGGGATCTAACGCCACACCCCACGCACCCAATGCCCCCAAGGCTCTATGCGCTGGCACTCTAACAACCCCCGGACTACCGGAAAACCCATAACTAGCCCCCAAACCTAAACCTGGCCTTAGGAGCAAGCCCGAGTTCGGGTATAGGGCCGGATTGTGAGAGAAATTAATAGGCAGGCCCGAATTGTCCTTTGCCTCATCCTTAACACTCTCTGATTCAGTGTCCTGATCACTCCTATCATCACTCTCCCCTGAATTCCGACGTTTGTCAATGTCTTCGAAGTGCTTTCCAAGTAAGCGAGATATACTGAAAGGTAGATTCACTCTTTGCTGTGTGTCAGTCATATGTTCGTTAGGAGAGTCGTGATATCTGTGGTAGCTGTGTTCAGAGTCTCGATCCTCTGAGGCAATGCTTCTGTCGCATTGGCCCGACAATCTGCTGTCGGAGTCCACGTTAATCTCTTCTTGGTCATCATCTGAATGCAAGGATGACATTTTCAGGTATTTTTTTATATTCTGTCGTCTGTTAACCACTGACACTCTCGTTTATATTAATCACCATAGTACGTAAACATACATCTTAACGTAAACACTTAAGTTTCAAGATATTACTATTTTATTTATTTTATTTTTTAAATAATTATTAGTGATATTGTAGTGATTATTACAGTCAATATTAAACTAAATTTAAATCTATTTTCTAAATAATTTTATAATCTATCTCGATTGACGTTTCGGAACGCGAGTTCCTTTTTCGAAAAAGCTTTCGCGCCACGCTCGACCGCCCGCGGCCGTACCGTCACACACAATATCAGTAAGCGGGCCAATCAGCAGCGCCCCACCGTTTTCTCAAATTCGAACTATACTATGACCGCACAAACGCCTCAACTATACCCGTTGAGTGGAACAGTTTCCGACAAAAGCTTAATACGATTTCCAAACATAAAAACACGCTTGGACTCACTAACTTTAACAGAATGGTTTGCTCCGTCCTTTTCTGTATAGCCATGCTTCTGCGGTTGCCCCCATGTTCATCCATTAAGGTACAACGCATTTCAAACCTTATCGCTTTTAAGTAATGTTTATTTTTGAAAATAAGGATAGACATTTTAGGACATTTTATCAAGCTTAAAACATAGTAAGTACAGTATAGAACTTATGCGCAAGGGAGACAAATATACATATAGAAATGTACAAGCATCCACGGGTTAGAAAGAGTTAACTAGCGTTTTGTAATAGGGCGTGCTCAGTTCAGTAACGCATCGTTTAAATCCAGTTATGGCCTGACAAATGGTGTACATATTTAGGGGGGAGCAGTGTTAGGAAACTATTTTTGAATCTTTTAAGACAGTTAAATTATTTACGTTTGGCGGTCGACCGAGCTCCTACAGACAATGCACTTTATAATAAAATAGATCCCAAGTTTCATGTTATGGTCATAGATAAGTAAGGATAATGTATTGGTGAAGATAGGTTCTTTATGGTATTGAGAACGACAGTTCGAGTGGTAAAGGGTGTTAGATTATGGGCGCGCACGATAAAATACCTCGAATATGGCGATTGCTTTTACAATAATTGTTTGGAGCATTTGAATTTGATATCAAGATACCTACATTTTATAACGAAATAACGAACATATACTCCTTTCTGAATAATTGATTGGCGATGTGTATAATAGTAGAAATGAAAGCTTACAAATTATTTTATTTATCTATAGGTACTTAGATACAAATAAATAAAATTGGAGTGTCTGTTTGTAATGTCAAAATAACAGCTTTTCATTAAATGCATATGAAACTATATACGGTAGGTATTTATAACAAAAACACACTTCATAAAGTTTTTATCTGTGCTGTCTGTTTGTTTGTTTCGGCTAATCTCCGAAACGGCTGGACCGATTTCGATGGGACTTGGTATCTATACAGCTGATGTCATAAGGAGTAATTTAGGCTACTTTTATTTAAGAAAAAGAAAAAGAATTAGGGTTACACGCAAAAAAATTAAAAACCTAAATTATACGCGGGTGAAGTCGCGGTGAACATCTAGTATATTAATAATATTACTTTCAAATGCCAACAGTCATAGCGACGGAAAAGTTAATTTAGGCGTTAGAATGTAAACAAAAACGAAAGAATATATAATAATCTAAAAAAAATTAAGTTATTAGATCTTAATTTTTTTTGTTTGTGTAAGGTTTAGGTTAGGTTTAGGAGCATCCATCTCCGCATTAACCGTGCATTGGCAGTTTAAGAATATCCACTACTCCACATCTTCCCGTGGGTGTCGTAAGAGGTGATACAATAGGAAAATGAAACAGGTGATGGGCAGTAGTAGGAGCTATCTTCCTGATAACAACTGAAATTAAGAAAAAACTGCAGTTGGCAACCCGCTTGCCAAGCTTGGCAACTATGGCGAAATCCTCCCATCAGGCAATCTATGACCATTAATGAATTAATGAATTTTTATAATGAAATTAGTTTTAATCTCCACGACTGTAGGTACCTACTAAGAAAAAGAAAATATGAAAATATTATACAAAAATTTAGCAAACACTAACTTTAACTATCCAAATTCAAAAAAGAGGAGTTTCTGTATTCGACACGGATGCTTTTCTTATGTGTGTTTACCGAATTCTTGGAAACTGCTGTAGATACCTACCGATTTCAAATATTATTTTTATTAAATAGGCTAGCTCACGAGTAACAGTATCCACTACCCCATGTCATCACAAGTCCACTGCTGAACATAGGCCTCTCCCAAGGAATGCCACAAAGTACGGTCTCGAGCCACCTGCATCCATTGACTTCATGCATGTCTTACCACGTCGTCACACCATCTAGTGGGCGGACGCCCTACACTTCGCCTGCCGGTACGAGGCTTCCACTCCTTCACTGCTGGACGTATGAGAAAGTTCAAGGTCGCTCAGCGAGCTATAGAGAGGGCTATGCTACTGATGGAGAAGAGAGGTCCTCGAGGTTCTAATAATGACTAGAAAATAATAAACTATTCGTTACCAACATACTTCCCAAGCGTGGCAACTTTAACAAATTCCTTTCTTATGAGGCATTCTATGGGGAAACCCTGTGTTCAGCCGTGAGGTTTCGATATGATGTAACGGTGACTAAAGTGTTTATTATCTAGATATTTAGAGGATATATTAGTTGTGATGTTGATACATAAAAAGGCTAAAAATTAAATATAATCTTTCTAATATATAAAAATTATTTTTGTTCCTTCGTATTTTATGTGCTGCCATACCGTACAGCTGATTGCGCCAAAAGTTTGTCAAGTTACTGCTGGCACTTGTGAGAAGGTTATAGACATATTACAACTAACTTACAATAGGTGGATTTTTGTTTGTTCGTATTTCATACGTTACCATACCGTTCATGAGATTGCGCTAAAACTTTGTCAAGTTACCGCTCGCTTGCACTTGTGTGAAGGTTATAGACATATTACAACTAACTTACAATAGGTGGCGCGCGTATCGTACCGACAAATTTATTTGAAAGTTATACATCACTCAACTTCAATGAATGTATTTGCATTCCTAATTAAACTATATATAAAGATAAAGAATATGCGCCAAATATTGCTGACTCACGTACAGCTACAACAAATTTACGCAGTATTTCCAGTAAAATAAAAAGCAGTGAAATATTGAAGAGGAAGTTTCAGTCTGCTTGTGAAGCAGCTGGTGTGCCATCAAATCTGAATTCCATATTCGACTGTCCAACGAAATGGAATTCAACACATGATATGATTGGATTTTGTTTAAAAGTGAGAACTGGCATTATCATATTATGCACTTCTGTCACCGAATTGAATGATTTTCAAATCACAGATAGTGAACGGCAAATACTCGAAAAAATACAACGAAACTTGATGGAGAAAAATATGCTACATTACCGCTAGTCATTGTATCATTCAATCTCTTGCTCGATAAAATTGAATCCGTGGTAAAACAATTAGATGAGAAAACTAATCGATCCGAAGTGGCTGAAAGGCTCATTCTGGGTTTCCAAGCAGCTTGAGACAAAATGCTTAAACATTATAAGAAGGGCAACTGGATTTATTGTACCTCTTTAATTTTAGACCCAAGGCATAAAAGCTCAGACTTTTGACATGACATTATGGGGAAAGTAACATAGAAAGCCTGCGCAAATTAAATGAACTTTATAAAGAATATAAAATTCTACACACAGTGAATAAATCTCTAGAATCACCAAGAAATTAAAAGAAAGTAAGTATGTGAATATGATGAAGACGAAGACGTAACAGACTTTGAGAAACTGTATGCATGTCCCTCGACGTCATCTGGATCTGGATCTTGTCTTCTTTATTGACGATTTGGAGGAGTACCTAAGTAAATCCAGAGCAGCCAGCTCAGAAGACATTTTAGAGTGGTGGAGGACGCATGAGACAGAATATCCGACTTTATCGAAGATGGCCTGTGATTTTCTTTCAATACCTGCAACTTCAGTACCTGCTGAGAGATTATTTTCTAAAGCATCATTAGTAACTAGAAAACAGAATAATTCTTGGTCAAAAGAATTAATATAAAGTAACAGTATGTCAAAGTTATTGTGTACTGTAATGTAATTTAATTTGTGTTGTATTTTATTTTTTATTTAAATAAATGGTAAATTGTATAAATTGTATAACTCTTTTATGCCATTTCATATAAGGTGAGGGTCTATCAATCTCTTTCTAGACAGATAATGTTCTTTAAAATACAGTCAAGGTAATGTCATTAATTTGTTTTTTATATGTTTTTACCATGTTCTAGCACATGTAAGCTTATTAAATGTAAACGTTTATTAAGAAACAGACTGACTCCCGTGGCCGTGGGACACGGTAGATAGTCGATTAGAGCATCGTCTCGGATCGCTTAGGTCGTGGGTAACTCCATCCGGTGGCAGTTGATTTTTCTAATTTCGCATTAAATTTTTAAACATTGATTAATTTCGTTAGTCTTTACTATGGCTATGTTAATTCAAGCTCAAAATGTAGATACCTACTCTGTTAAGTTGTTCTAAGATCTAAAGTAACGTTTAATAAATAGCAATAGGCTAATAGGTAATTGCGAGACTTACGAGACTCTTGCTGCAAGACCAAGACCAAGACCAGCTGTATTGGCGCAAGACTAAGACCAAGACTGGCTGAATCTCTTCTTGTTCTTGCATTTTGGTAACACTAGTTATATGTAGATTTTATACGTAGAATTACTGGTCTCCTTGCATGTATCGAACCTTCAACCCGCAAGGGATAACATGCCAACGCCAAGCCAGCACATCAATAGTCTCCAAATAATAATTACGCTAACGAGCTGTCAAACATAATAAATCATAATATTATATGACAAGTAGAACGCCGTTAATACATTTACGGAAGTTATTAACCAAGCGTTAGTACCTAATAGGTGGTAGGATGCCTTTTTTGCATAGGAGTCCATCTGGGTTATGACAAGATACCTATGCAGATGCTTCACGTGG